TAGCCCATATTCACTCAAGTAAGATCGATGGATCGATGCGCGACATCATCAAGGAACATTTACACAAAGACCCATCGGCCAAAGCCGTCGTCGAACTAGCTAAAGTTGGGAAAACACGACAGTTTTGGGTTGAGGGAGACCTTCTGATAACAAAAGAAAACAGATTGTATGTCCCAAGAACGGGAGAACTGAGGAAGAAGCTCATTCAGGAATGTCATGATACCTTATGGGCCGGACACCCTGGGTGGCAAAGAACATACGCCCTAATAAAAAAGGGGTACTTCCGGCCAAACATGCGAGACGACATCATGCAATACACCAAGACGTGCCTCATCTGTGAACAGGACAAAGTCGAGAAAGCCAAAGTCTCAAGACTCTTGGAACCTCTACCTGTGCCAACAAGACCCTGGGAAAGTGTATCTCTGAACTTCATAACACACCTCCCAAAAGTCGGGGAATATGACGCTATCTTGGTTATCGTAGACCGATTCTCAAAATATGCGACATTCATCCCCACTCCCAAATTATGCTCGCCGAACTCACAACCCAACTATTTTTCAAACACGTTGTAAAGTTATGGGGCATTCCGTCGAGCATCATCAGTGATAGGGATGGCAGATTCATTGGGACATTCTGGACTGAGTTATTCGCCTTCTTGGGAACAACCTTAAACATCTCCTCGAGTTATCACCCTTAAACCGATGGACAGGCAGAACGGTTCAATTGTTTGCTCGAAGAATACTTACGTCACTTCGTCGACGCTCGCCAGAAGAACTGGATACAACTATTAGATGTCGCCCAATTTTGCTTCAATTGTCAAACCTGCTCGTCTACAGGAAAGAGTCCCTTCGAAATTGTAAGTGGATGACAACCGGCCTTACCCCATACTATTGATCATCTTTATGCAGGGAAAAACCCTCAAGCTCACAACTTCACAAGAGAATGGAAGCAGACAACGAATATAGCCCGGGCATATTTAGAGAAGGCTTCCAAGCATATGAAAAAGTGGGCGGACAAGAAGCGTCGCCCCCTTCAATTCCGAGCAGGAGATCAAGTTCTCATCAAGCTGAAACCAGAACAGATCAGATTTCGCAGTCGAAAGGACCAGAGACTAGTTCGAAGATATGAAGGCCCAGTTGAAGTCCTTAAAAATATCGGGACTACCTCCTACCGAGTTGCACTACCCGCATGGATGAAAATCCACCCAGTAATTCATGTGAGCAACTTGAAGCCATACCACCCTGACCCAGACGACGACCAACAAAATGCAATCACGAGACCGAGCATCGGTCTGAGGCAAAAAGAAACAAAAGAAGTAGAGGAAATCCTCGCCGACAGGGTTAGGAAGATAGGAAGACCTGTACGGACGATTCGTGAATTCCTTGTCAAATGGAAGAATCTCCCTACAGAGGAAACCAGCTGGGAACGCGCCGAAGATCTGAACTCCGCCGCCACCCACATCGCAAGGTTTGAAAGTAGTCGGTTGATAGGGACGTCAACCAATTAGGTAGGGGAGGATGTCACGGTCATGCTCGTCCAGGGCGTGTTGCCCATGGTCGCATGCCCATGGCAAGCCAAACCCTTGTCATGTCTTTTCATTATAGTGTTTTTACTTTTGTAGTTTTAGGGCGTATGACGCCTCAAAAATATCATGTCTAGGCCTGTCAGACATGAAATGCCTCAGAATGTACTATAGGGGGATATGACTAGCTGTCAACTTCTCCCTACCCAAGGTTATATATGCTAAGCCGTTGTTATCTCTCTCTTGCTTGCTTATATAACGTCTGTTTCAAAAATCTCTCTTTCTAAAATCTCTCTCTACCCTCGTTTTCTAAAACCTTCTTTTAAAACGAGGCTAGAGGCTCGATCATACGTCGCTTGGCCGTAGGCGACGCAAGAACAAATTGGCTTAGCTCACTTGTCGTTGGAAAGTGAGTGCCGCATAATCGCTAGTTCGCTGCCTTCAAAAGTGCGATTGTGTCACTAGCGTCCTCTCTTTTTCCTTTCTCTTACTATCTTCCGATGGTGTTCTCCATTGCCGCCCTCTGCTTTTCTATCTCATATTGTTAATCAATCATCTCCACAACTCTATTGTCGCTTCCAAAACCCTTGTTTAATTAGGGTTTGGAGGTTTGGAGGTTTGGAGAGTTTGGTTGGCTTTGTTTAGTTGGTTTTTTTCCTCTCTTTCACTCCGCATGGGAGTTTGTATCTTGAAGTTTTATGTCTTTTCATCTATTAATGAAAATTTTGTTTCTTTGATAATAATAAAAAAATTAAAAAATTAAAAAAATTAAAAAAAAAAAAAAAAAAACAATGACTAAAATGAAAAGAGAAAGTGTTTTCCCGCCGTGTTCTCTTCAAGGATAGAAAATAAGAACCAACCAGCTAGGAAATAGAACTCTTTTGGTCGTTGGGCCTGAAATTCAAATGAACATACCTCCAGTTCACTGCTTATTTGCATTTGCTTCTTCAATTGTTCCCCGGAATCATTAATTTCTTTAATTAATTGCTCTTGCAAAACCTTTTCACGTCCCCTTGTAGCAGCAAGTTCTTGCTCTGTGTATAATAACTGATCCAGAAATTTTTTTCTCTCCGATTCTGCGACAATTACAATGACAACTCAAATCGGCAAGAAAAAATTTTTTGATCAAATATTGAAAACTAAAATGGAAAATTACATGGAAGTAGAAATAACTTACCTAGGAAGAAACCAGCAAAGAACTAAAACAAAAACAGATACCAGCTAAATGATCAAAACAAACCAAAAAAACCATTCACCTTAAGGTAAACTCCATCCTATAAACAAGGAAGTACAAACCGAGAGATCACACAACCATTTAATTTTTTTTCTTAACAAGTAACAAACTTTTCAATAATAAATGAAAAGAAAGAAAAAGGCTCAAGGATACAAACTCCTAGTGGGAGTGAGAACAACCAACAAAACCAATAAAGAACAAATTCCGTAAATTATAAGAAACCTAAAAAAGACACTGAAGAACAAAGTGCTCGATGGAAAACAGCCACTGAAATGAGGTGAAAAACTAACACAGAAAACCGATAAACCAGAACCACTGAAGCTAAGACCAACTCCAACGATGGATAAGATCAACTCCTGAGCCACTGCCCAGAAGACAAAACTTGGAAGAAAAGGTCATGAAGACACCAATAGGAGAGGGTGCTCCAACTTGACTTCAAAACTTCAAAACTTTACAAGGAACAATGAAAACAAACCCCTATTCAGACACAGGACCTGCTTACGGCAACCTTAAAAAATGAGAAAGATCCCCGATACTATTTAAAAATTCCTTTGGAACTTCCATATAGATATATTTAAACTTTGAAATAATACTTGAGGAATTTCCCCATGAAGAAGGATAAAACACCCCTACTTAGGTTGGAATTTGAAATAAGAGAAGACAGTAATAAAGAAAATGGAAGACAAGGAAAGGTCCCAACTCACAATATCAAGACAACCTTCAGCTAAAATTTCTTCCAAGGCAAGTGTAAGTATATGTTCTAGAAACACTAATACTACTCAGTAAAAGATTTATATGGTACCAGCATCTTCAGTTTGAGATTTTTTTATAGGAACCTTAGTTTGCTGTTGATGTTATTTATTTTAAATAGAAATATAATTTTAAATGATAGGTCAAAAGGAAGAAAAGTGTTCAATCATACAAATTCCCAAGGGGGGTCGGAATAAAACACCCAAAGAAACAACAAAACATGACCAAACACAGCCCAAAAAACAAAACCAACTTCAACAAACTCCGAAACAAAAATCCAAAGAGAAATATCAACCAAGGGCACCCACTAGAGACAGGCTTTTGCATTAATCTAATACAAATCAACGCCACAGCTCCTTTAAAAAGAAAATTTTGTTCCTTTTTCATCTACTGCATTGTCAGGAAGGAGAGGAGGAGACTTATCAGACAGATTCTTTGAAGGATATCCAATTTCTTCACAAAAATGAGTACATAAAACCTTTTCAAACGTTACCTCACCAATCAACCCAAAAGCTTGAGCTGAGGAGTTATGATAAATTTAATTATGTCAATCATTCAACATTTTCCTTCACTTGCAAGCTTACGAATTTGAAGAAGGCCCAACAAATGAAAATCAATATTAATTGGGGAGGGAAATGATACAATAGGGGTTCATACACAGGACTTCTCTGATACCATATAGCTAGGTATGAGAATAATTTTTTAATATATTCTTTAGTGAGAAAATAGGATTATTTATACAAGAGGGATCCTAGCTATCGTTATTTTCTCACTGGGATCCCTCTTGTACAAATAGAGTTAAATTCTTCTTTCCTCACTCAATGACATAATGATACAAGAGGGAACCCAACAATAGAATAATTTCCATGAAATTTGCAGTCTCTAGATCCCCCCCCCCCCCCCCCCCNTCTCTCTCTCTCTCCTCACTCCCCCTACCTCACTGATTCTAGCTTTCAGCCAATTCAGCCACAAGTCTGTTCAGCTCCAGTTTCTTATCCGATTTTAGTTATTTTCTTTTTAGTCCTGGAAGTTAGTAATTGCAAGATCAACATTTCGTTTTTTGGTTTAAATCTGAAAATTTTTATGAGGAAGGTACACGAGCAAAATGATGATACCCCTTTCTCCACCACACTTGAGGTGGTTTGAAAGATCCATTGTTAAATTGTTGCATTGGCCAAATCAACAGTACTTCTCCAAGCAAGCTTGCAATGATTCATGTACTTCTCGTCTGGAAAAACTCAAGTCTCCTACAGGTTAGTTCATGAGATGTGTTGTTTGGCCCTCGTCAAGTGGCAGAAAGTACATTCAAGTGTCAATGGGCTTTTCAAAGAAGGGATGGCTTACATTTTGGAATTTGTTAAATGTTTCCCTACAAAGTTCTGATAACTTTAAATCTAAGACAAAACCTTTATCTCAGCCAATACAATCTAAGACATCTGGAGCTATTAAAACTTTGGCCAAGGTAGTGGCTGGGTGTTTGCAAGAAAGACACAGGTCCAAGGTTTTTTAATACGCCAGATAAAATATCAGAGTGGCAGCTTTCTCAAGGTTCTTATTGGTAAGAAAAATCAAGAACTGTTTAATGAAGGAAAATATTTTTCAACTTCTTAAATCCAAAGGCAAAGCTCCTATGGTTTAGTGTGGTCAAAGTCATCCTATCAGAATTGTGGTTGAAGAGATAAAATATCAGCGCCTTTCTTGGTTTGGCAGATTTGAATCCGTGCGGTTAAAGTCTTCTTGATATTCTCAAAGATTATTGCTGGATGTTCTTATGGGGTATTGTCTTAATTAGCATGCCTTTATTTCTGCTTTATAGTTTTTTTTTTTTTTTTTTCATAATGTTTGGTCTTTATTTCGTTTTTTTTTTTATTGTTTTTTCACTCTTCATTGGACTTTGTATCTTTAAAGATTAGTCTCTTTTCATTTCCTTAATGAAAAGTTCGATTCTTGTTTTAAAAAAAAAAAAGAATTTATCAGCAATAGAACAGCATTCACTTTCCCTTTGGAGAAAAGCGAGCCTTCAAATTCCCTAGCTCAATATTTCAAAAGTCTAGAAAGATGTGGATAAACTTTCCCATTTTTTTCCCGGCAATGGGAAGAGGATTCACTTTTGACAGGACGCTTGGTTTGGAGATTCTCCTTAAAAATTGTGGATGCCAAGTCTCTAAAATATCTCTTTAATTCCTTCCTTATGGTTTTGTAGCTGATAATTGGCATAATAGTTCTCCTATTCCAAAAGATGTTTTATCGGCCTTATGGAAGTCAAAATGTCCAAAGAGAATCAATATTCTTATGTGGATAGTGATTACTAATTGATTGAATTCCTCTCAAGTTTTGCAAAGGAAGCTAGCCTTTTCTTCCCTCATGCCATCAATGTGTTTTTGTGTTCTTTGGCATGAGAGAACCTAATTCATTTGCTATTTGGCAACTCATTCACTTCATCTTTTCTTTTTTCTTTTTTTTCTTTTTTTCTTTTTTTCTTTTTTTTTTTTAACAAGAAAAAAATGTTTCATTGAAGAAATGAAAAGAGTCTAATGGTCAAAGATACGAACTCCACAAGGGAGTGAAAAAGAGAAAACGATAAAAGAAAGCAATAAAATTAAACAATCAATCACTCAAAATAAATTATAAAGACATTCCAATTGAAGGCAAAAATATCCTCTAGAGAAAATCCAGCAAAATCCTATGAGAGAGAACACCAAGAGGAAGTTCTCAAACGGACCAATTCAAATTTGTAAAGTTTAGATAGTTGCTTTCTTTTAAGATTATTTGATTTCTTTCCATCCACAATTTGGATATTGAATAAAGAGGGCAGCTTGAGCCAACAAGAGTGTGAATATGAGTAGCCAAAAAAAAAATGTTTGAGAGTGTCCCACTAGACAAAGTAATTTTTTCACCATCTGCCGATAGCTAAACACAATGATCGGCAACTATCCCATTTACTTGCCTTGCCAGAATCCCACGAGTTTTTAAAATTCTCTCTGATGCAGTCTTATCAAGTTTAGGGATTTGACTTGTTGCAATGCAATCTCAACAGATTTAACCCCAGCAAACCAAGAAAACTGGGTATGAAGTGTTGATGTAGTTCCATCTCCACATCAATAATATGCCCAATCATAGTCTCTGACAGTACAAAATCTCGCAAAAAATTACCCATAACTGCTCCCAAGCACTTTCTTGAAACAGAAAATCACTGTATTTTATAGCCCACATAATGATGGCTAATCTTATTCATTCCAAAGATGTTTTCTTTCTCTATAGTCATTTAGACCCGAAACAATTGTAAACTAACTAATCATGTCTTGTTGAAAAGAAATTTTAACCGAACCACCTTTTAGAACTTCCAATGCTTTCAACTTGCTGTCATCCCACTTGATTAGCATGCCACCTGAACAGACAATGGATTTCACATTCATCTAGCTCATATCTTACAGATTCCATAATAAGTTGATGAATTTCCTATTAAAAAAAACAAGCCAACCTTGGTTTCTTGAATAAGCACCATATCAGGACAATGGAGTTGTAGGAATTTCTTCAAAATTGAACTTTTTAAAAAAATCTCCCAGATCCCTGATATTCCATGACAGAACTTTCATGGAAAAACGAGAAATAAAATGCATTATTAATTCTTGTTATGAATCCTCAGGGAACTCAAAGGAGAAATTTCATGCAGCTGCAGACCACTGAGCTCTAATAATGACGAAAACCTGCATCGGTTTAAAGAAGAAAAAGTGTCATTGACGTAATGACTCTCAACCAATTCATACTCGAAAGTTGTTGCCATGAGAATGAAGATGCAGTTCCATACTACTCAAACTAACATCCGACTCATCATCAGAGTTATTAAAACAAGGATTAGATGCTTATTCAGAAGATGAAAGGACTTTGGATGAATGAATGATACCCTTAAGAGACTTTTATTCCAACCAAATCATTATTACCAGGAGTGAGTATGAAAGGCTAATTGGGGCTTGAAGAATTACTTGAAAAGTCTTCTATGAGCCAATATTCTTATAAACAATGCTCATCAGTAACCATTGGAAGTCAAAGGGATGATTTCTTTTTATCTTGCATGATAATTTGAATAAGCTGCCATAAAACCATCTTTTACTTCTTTGATACTCATTGAAACTAAGGAGTCTAAATCTTTGGAGGAATTATGAACCATAGCCTTGGAAGACAGACCATCATCAATTTGAATCGTTGCCTTGGGAGGGAGACCATCATCCATTAAAGGAACCATTACCTTGGAAGAGAGATCTTCATTAATTACAGGAACTGTTTCAATGAGAGGCCTGTTTTGTATTTCTTTAACTGAAGAAGAATCAATATTCTGAAAAGGCACAGTAGAAGGACCCACCTGTTCAGATAAAGGACAAGTATTTAAAGATGTCTTCTCAACACCTGGTGCAATAAAAGCCTCCTCTGGCATAACTAAACCTTCATTCTCTAGCACATTAATGACATCCTCCTCGTTTAAGATGATGATGGAAGCTGACTGTTGATGCTCGCCAGGCAGGCTAGGGACAATATAAGCTTCATCTTCTGGCATAATTAAAACAGTGTCCTTGGAAGCACTAATGACTCCATCTTCCATGACTTGCTGTAGCTTACATAAATCTAAGGAACTTGAAAAGTCATTTAAAGACAGCACACCATTAAAGCTTCATCTGCTGGCATAATTAAAACAGTGTCCTTGGAAGCACTAATGATTCCATCTTCCATGACTTGCTGTGCCTACATAAATCTAAGGAATTTGAGAAATCATTTAAAGACAGAACACCATTAAAGATATTTGGAGGATTTAGTGAAGTCACATCCCCAAATCTAAGAAAAGAATGCCCTCTTTTTCCAGGTTCTTCTTTACTTCAATACGAGCTTCAGTACAGTCAATCAAATTAAGGGTTTGAGACGAAACACTACCAAGGCCACCAGAATATCCACCAGAATATTCTCCAATTGCTTCAAACGTGCTTAGTTCCCAATATGTTAAAGGTAAGTTCTTTATGGAGACCCAATCTTCATACCCCTCAATAAAATTTGAATTGGTATGCTTCTCTTGACCAATTTTCAATTTTTAAATAGAAAATTTCATATGGCCTCCATTTTTCATCAAGACTCTTCAAAATCCTTTCTTCTAATTTTATCAGAGTCTTATCAACCATAAGCGTTTTGACTTTGTCTCACGAGATCCACCATAGGTTGGGTTTGAGAGTGTGTGATGGGTGACTATCCAGCACAGTTCTAGAATACTAATAGTCTACCAAGAAGAGTTCAGTCGAATTAATGTTGATTCTTCCCTAACTTTAGGGTTTCTTGCCTTCCAGGAATTAACACCTCAATTCATTTATGGCAAAGGAGAAATTCTAGCTTTTGACTCTCGATTAAATTGCAGCTTCTAATACCTCAATACTTAATTTCAGCAAAGCCTCATCAACCATAAGCGTTTTGACTTTTGTCTCTCGGATCCACCACAGGTTGGATTTGAGAGCCATGTGATGGGTGACTATTAAGAACAATCCGGAGAGCCCATTTATTCTGTCAAGAGGAGTTTAGTCCAATTAATGTTGAATCATTCCTTACTTCAGGGCTTCTTGCCTTTTGAAAATTCACACCTCAATTCATTGATGACCTAAGAGAAATTTCAGCTTCTAACCTTCGATTAATTGCATCCCCTCGTAAGCAGCTGAATTCTTTCTTGATCTATGAACCAATTTAATGAAAAAACCAATTTTTCAACTGAAAAGTAGTTGACTATTCAAACTATTGGGTCGGGATAAGCAAGACCTCTTGCTTCGAGAGAAACTAGAGTGTTGTCTAAGAAAGCTAATTTGGCAAGCATAGGTCCCTCGTACCAAAAAAGCAATGAACTCAATAAGCAAACATATCTAACACGTATGCAAGCATCGACCCCGAATAGCATCATCCGACAATTTAGGCAACCCGATGTTCCAGCAAAGCAAGCCCCCTTAAAAACCCATTACTTAATGAGGATTTATTATGGTTCCTTTCTTTCTTTGATTTGAAACATCCCAACGGAAAATCAAATCAATGGACGATACATGAACAAGGAAGAGGTTGGAAGATCTAACCAAAGAATGTGATAGCCCAGTAGATTTACAGTGGCCTATTGGAACCCCAAAGTCTTTATAACAACATCCTCATTCACACGTACCAATGTATAAAAAGACATTTGCAAGTATTACAATAGGGATGAGAGTTTATGACAAAAAAATAAGGATTTCGGCGACTTCTAGCACTTATGATCAGTGTTGTATTAAAATTGAATCTCTTGGAAGAAAAGAAAGTTGGGACAATTCGTCACTGGGAATGACAAAATAGAAATTTACCACACATCCTGTGTTTTATCGCTACACCCTGTCATACCCTACTCCAACTTTGCTCTTTACATAGACTCAAAAATATTAAAAGAAAAATGGAAGCAAGGCTAGTCGAATTGAGAGGACTGCTACTACACGGACTCATACTGAGTTGTGCGTGATCAACAACTATCAAAAGATCTGATTTCTTCTTTTGCATTAGGTAAGCTTAAGCTAGAGGGCAAACCCATGAAAGGATAAATTGAAGCACCAAAATCACCGACACCTGTTAGTAGCAGCAAGCAAGAGCAAATTAGAGGTTTGAAGGAAAAGAAACACAGTTCCTTGGCAGAGTGTTCATTTCTTTTTTGCCAAGTTTCATTTGATTTGTTGTGGTAATTAATCAAGACTGGAAATTGAAAAGTATCTTCTAAAACTTCTTTAACTAAAACCTCACAGAAGTTCATATTCACCACTTCTTTCTCCATTCGAACCCAAGAAGATGTTCAAATAGATTGTCTTCAGCGGAGTTCAAAACACTGACTGTCCCTCACGCTCTTCTTTACAGCCTCCACATAACTTCTATGAATTGGCTTCTCTTTAACCACAGACAACACAGATGAATCCTCTACCAAAATCTATTTAAGAAAATCAATTAAAGACCAATAATGTTCTTCATAATTCTGAAGGAAATCTTTTAACATTTCCCAAAAATAAGCCAACCTTTTCGCTTTTTTTTTTTTTTTTTTTGGAGAAATCAGCAAGTATTTGAATTAACTTCCTACCTCCAGAAGGAGGCCAAACAACACATTAAGTGCCATCCTTGGAAGGACCAACGCTTCAACAACTGAGTTGAAACAAAATCATCTCTATCTTGCTTAGAAAATTGAGAATACACAAGGAGTTGCAACAATCAACTAAGGAATGTTTGAACAACACAAATGAGAGATAGAAAGAAGAACCACCAACTTTGTCTTCATATCTTCTACAAAAAAAAAAAAAAACAAAAAAAAAAAAAACATCGCATCGTTGAACCAAATGCATAACTTATTTCGTACACAGCAGCTCCTCACTTCCAAAACTTAAGAGTCTTCACCGATACACTTCATCTATTGGCAGAAATTATTTGGGATTTCTAATCTTCATGGGTATTCACTAATGGTTTCAAGCACAACTCTTCAATTGCTAATTGGTCCAAGTCTTCCTCCACGGCTTCATTTGTGGTGGGTTATAATCCAGTTAGGCTATTATATCAAAAATTCAATTGGCGCATAGTCAGTTCTTGAAAGCAATTGTTGGCTAGATCGTTTGAGGCAGCAAAATTCCAGGTTTCTATTTGGTGTTCTTATTCCAAGCTCTTCTATGATTTTTCCTTACAAGATATATGTTTAAATTAGGTTGCTTGTAATATTACCTTAGTATTTTCACTCTCTCTTTTTCATTCCTCCTTTTTGGAAATTTTTATCTTTCAGCATTAGACTTTCTTCAAAAGAATATAAAACTGCATTCACTTCATCTACCAGCAATTAATAGAACTTATATGCTAACAACTCACCAACTTTGGAGAGGTTCTCATTTAGCTCGCCCAACTTCAATTCATAATCATGAACTTGCTTCTCTGCATTGCTTAATGCATCTAAGAAGTCTGCCTTCACCTGAAAAATAAACACAATTAAAGTTCATGGTTCAAGTTCTACCAGTAATTAAGGAATAAAAGCAAGTAGACAAAATTGATTGGGACAAAATATGAAAGAGGTATTGGAAAGCTTATTATTGTGCGAAGTTCATATGTGAGTTCTAAACTAAAGTTTAATGTGTCAAGGAGCAAAGACATTTGATTTCTAACTATAATAAATTACTGTGAAACAGGTAAAAAGTATTGCAAGCGGCCAAACATACTTTGACATGGCATCATAAAGAAGGTGACACAAATTGCACCATATCAACTTCTCGTTGGAGGATAAAACTATTGGAGTAGTTCAAATATCATAGTTACCTAGCTTGGTTAGTCCACACTGATTAATTAATGACAATGAATCGCCTACAAAGTGGGATCATAAATAGTTTTCTTTTCTTCCAGTGTCGATGCTTTAAAGGGACTTAACTGATATTAAACACATTGTGATGTCTATCTGGAAATAATCAAATTTTAACATGACCTGATAGAAGAGAGATCTAGCAATTAATACCAGCCTTAGATGGAATTATCATGCACCAAAGGAAGTTTCCCCCCCCCCCCCCCCCCCCC